AGAAATACTCCAATGGAGACTGTTGTGGGAGAATGATATTAATAAAATAATCATTTTAATAAATAGGCAATCACAACTCTGACATTTACTCTGAAGAAACGGTACATGTTGGTGTGGCAGAACATAACAGGAGGAGGAGGATACAACCTAGTCTAGGGAACTCAAGGAAGGTTTTTCTAAACAAGTGACATCTGACATGGAGGCTTTAAAGGTGAATACAACATAGTGTGGCTGGAGCCTAGGGAGATGGGAGAAAAAGGAACATGTGCTGAGACAGAAAAGAATGTGTGGCAGATTCTGGTGCCCATCCTCAGGGCAACAGAAAAAACACTGAAGTAATACCTGAGTTTCTGGTGAAGGTCATCAGGACTTGATTACAGTCACCATGTGAATGTCACTTGGGCTGACCTGCAGAGAACGGGATGGCAGGATGGGGTGGGGTGGAGTGCTTGCAAGGAACAATCAATCAGAGGTGGCAGTGGTCCCAGGTGGGAGATGTTGGTGGCTTCCAATAGGAAATCCCAGCAGATTCTAGGGGAATGTTCGGAATAAAAGGTGGCCAATTCTCTCATTTCTTTTTGGATACACAAGAGCTCCCCAAAGTGAACGAAGACAAGACATGTCCTGGGGTGAACATGGCAATTATAAAACTCATAACATACTTCATTGCAAGAGACCGGGGAGCATGGAGTGGTGATTTTCAGGAACACCCTTTGCATTGAAGACTTCATAGAAGGAACACACCACACACTTTGTCATAAACCAGTCCAGTTCCCAATTACTAACCAGTAACAAATGCTAGTAACAATAGGCACCGTTTGTTTGGGAGTCCTGTAGCCTTTGGAGACATAAGAGACCTCAGGCAAGTTACTTAAGCCTTCTTCTCCATTTTCTAATCTATAAATGAGGGTAATAATAGTTCTTAACTTACAAAGTGAATATAAGGATTAGATGAAATAACTCACATTTGGCACAGTGTTTGACACATAGAAGTGCTCAGTAAGTGTTATTACTTTATTGTCATTAGAATAATGATGATCTTACCTTAGCCAGGGGTTGAGAGAAAATATTTACAAACCACATATCTAAAAAAGAACTTATATCCAGGGTATGTGTGTTTGTGTATGTGTTTGTATATACAATAGTTTGAGAACAAGCCAATTAAAAAATAGGCCATTGCACCAGGCATGCCCATAATCCTAGTGGCTCAAGAGGCTGAGATAGGAGGATTTTAAAAGAGAATCTTACAGCATCATGGGGTTTACAGAGAGTCACAGCTCAAGCAGTAAAGCTGGTCTTTGATCCAGATCTATATGACACCAGAAACTGTTTGTTTGTTTGTTTTGACCACTATGCAATAATGTTTCCTAAAGCAAGGAAAAGGGACCACCTCCACACCTGCCATATTTCATTGAGGGAGGACACAGGTTATAAGATATGCTTCATCCCATGTAAGTGATAATGGCTCCCACACCATAGGAAGCACTACAAGCTTGATCCTTAAGGTGCAAAGAGGCAATACAATAGAAAAACCTTCTCAGTTCTCCCAAGGGTCTTTCAGAAGTTCAAGGTGGTCCTTGGGCATAAGTGAATAATAATGACCTTACTATGTCGCAATTAGCCTGAAGCTTGTAACAAACTTTTTCATGATTTACTTGACATCTCTTGGAACAAGCAGTGTTGAGTTTTTACAATAAGAAAGAGGCACTTCCAGAAAGTAAAGAAGGATTTGAATCCAGCTCTACTTGGCTACACTGGCCTCACCAATCTGTGATGCTTTTCTCCATGGATGCTACTTTTTCCATTATGTTCTTACTCAAAGTGAGCCAGAGGTCGTCCATTTTTTCTTTTACCCCTGAAGAAGATCTGATATCAATCACATGCAACTGAGTATATTGTTCAGTTGGTGATTACTTCTCCAGAGATTATTTTACTTAAGTCTGCCTGTAATGTGATAGGTTCAGCTTGCACTGGCTGATTGGTAAATTTCCAGGAATTTGTGAGCTAGTAGACACATCACATTGGTAATCTAAAATGGCCATGATGGGATCATTTTTTACAGAGAAATCCATAAAAACTACGAGGGAGGACTTCTCAACACCTCTGCTCTCATCACTAACATTGTTATATATTTTATGAGCTAAGTATCAGTCTTTTATCTCTCCTTGTCCTCTGTAAAAGAATTCCAGCCTGTCTGTAATCCTGGTGGCTTGCAAGGCTGAGGCAAGAGGTAGGAGGATCACAGGTTCGAAACCAGCCTCAGCAACTTTGCAAGGTTTAAATAATTTAGCAAGAACCTGTCTCAAATTAAAAAAAAAAAAAAAAAAAGGCTGGGGATGAGGCTTAGTTAAGCACTTCTGTGTTCAATCCCTGGTACCAAAAAAAAAAAAAAAAGAATTTCAAGAATTTCAGCCACCAGAGACTATTTTGCAAGGAAATTGGCAGGCATAGGAAGAACGTAAAATCATTCCTACCCTCGAGTCACCACCTGCCAACTCTATGCGTCTTTTTGACCCCTGCTTCAGTAGGATGAAAGGTCTTCCCGGCCCCTCTGAAAAACTTGTATAGCACATCTCAATAAGGGAAACAGCCATCTGACACCAAAACTGAACACTTGTTAAAATAAAAGGCTCATTCAATTAGCAATGTAATGACAAGAAGAATGGATATTTAAAGTTTAGAATAAACAATGCACAGAATTTATTCTTGAGTATGTAAGGGGTTATTTTCATACAGTTTTATAAATTGACAGAAGATTAGAACTGCTGGGAATATAATTTCACAAATGCAAAAAAGAGAAGCTGAGACCCTAAGAGGGGCTGACCAGGAGTGTATGGCTCCTGATGCATGTCTGTCTCCCCGCATGCTTACATTTAACCATAGAATAGAAGTCCAGGACCCTGGTCTTAGCTTGGCTTTGAAGATTCTTTTAATATTTCCTATTATTTGAAGATGATTATGTTATATCACTCTGCCAGCTTCTTCAAAGATATAAAAATGATACAAAAATGGCTAAGTTTTACTAGGTGCTGACTATGTGACAAGATACATTAAGTAGCTTACGAACTAAGTTGAACTATATGAAATTGCCAACATCTGACTTTTATTATCTGCTAAGTGGTAATCTCAAATAGTTGGGCATAAATATATTATCTGATTCTTTGCCATTTTATGAAATGGATACTCTTACCACACCCATTTTAAGATGAGAAGACTAAGGGTTTAATTAAAAAATAAAAGGGTTCTTTCCACAAGGGTAATGCTGTTTATTTATGAGTGATGTACAGTATACTCTTATGTGCAAATTGATGACCTCAAACTATGTGATTTATATAGGGAATACACAACAATAATTCACATTCATTTTTCAGTGACCTTGGATAACTTTCTTACTAATAGATTTCGATCATATTTAAAGAAAATTTTTAAAAAACATTACTTGTGGATATTAATCACTGGTGTTAAAAAACAAGAAATTTGACGATTGTGCATATGTCCTATATAACCTAATGGAAACATTAGGTCACACACACATATACACTAAAAATTGACTTAGGCTATGTGATTTATTAGGTATATACAATGAATCCCTTAAGTTCAAAACTTGGCTCCTGGTCACCTATCAATGGGCCCTTGCACATAGGTAATTCCATGTGATTTGTGCTTAACTTCTAAAATATTAGTAAGAGTCTGCTGAAGATGACCAATTCTTTTCTAAAGACAAGCTAGTGATATTTCACCTGAAACTTTAAAAAGCCAGGCATCCATTGGCTCTAGAGCCAGCCACCTCGACTACACTTCATTGAACATTTGAAAACCTGGCTCTCCAAAGACTCCAAACTCATTCCTGCAATTCCTAAGTCATACACCCATGGGGAATCAGAGCACCTTTATCTCTAAGTAACCATCAAGCACCTAATAGAGTTTCCCCTTCAGTAAAATATAAACAACAATCTCCCCCTACCTCTCTAGTGATTTAAAAGCAATATAATGATATAATAAGAAGTCCCAAACATGCTTTGAGGAATTGCTGAGAATGGCTAAACAAGAGCCACTACATAGAAACAAAGGATTTTTAAAGAAGGAAGGGATTTTGTTAGGTAATTTCTAGTCCTTTAATTAAAAAAAAAAAAAAAAAAAAAAAAACTGACACAGGAGATAGACATTTGTCCAGACTTTATCACTTAATGAGAAGCAGAGTTTGGTCTCCTCACTCCCCATCTAGTGCTTTATCTGTCAAAGTACATTGCTGTGTTCATTGATTTTTTTCTTTTGTAATTACAGATGCTATGGAATATGAAAATGTCTTCAGATATATCAAAGACTGGCCTAGATAAGCAGCCACGATCCCCTATGTAAGAACCACTGGTCTGCATGCAGAACACCATGGCTCAATATGCCTAGTCTTCTGTGATGTTTTCCAAGGGATAAAGAGGTCTGCAATTGTGCCTTGCAAATTTTAGACTATTAAATGCTTGGGAAACAATTCTAAGATATCATGGAAGTGTTGTCCATTAAAACAAAGAGTTGAATTCGTAAACATGTTTTAATACTGTACCTACCACTTAACCATTCCAAGTACTATTTTTTTCTACTGTAAAATAAAAACATTGGGCTAAATTATTCTTGAGGCCCCACCAAGTACAATATTTTACTAGTCTATGTTCCATAGAATGTAGTATATTTCATACAAAGTTGAAGTTCTATCCAATCATAACATTTGTCACATGAAATATTATTATTTTGTAGGGGAAAAAAGCTGATGAACGTTAAAGTTGTAGTTTTTGGAAGTGAAATCACCAAGTACAACATCTGACCTCTTGACTCCTCTCTACATTCCCCACTGATTTCCCTACTGTGCTCTTTGCTTATTAAACCCAGCATGCTTGGGTTCCATGTTCTATTTTATTCCATGTATATCTTTCAGAGTCAGTGAAGTCTAAATATAACATATTGTAAAAAAAAAAAAAAAAAAAAAAGCAAAAGAAAGTCTTACATACCCCATGACGATCCTCAAAGTATGCCAGGCTGGTTTTGGTTAAAACAAAGAAGCGGACTTTAAAATTAGAGGGAGAAGTTCTTCTCTTTTGTTGGGATTTCTTGATCAGCTGTTCTTCCAGGAGGATCAAGTTGTTCATGATCCAGTTCTTGAAAAGTGATGCGTCTTAGGCATCACCCCTTAGCACAACCAGAGCAAACAGCCTCTGGGAAAGGAATGTGACAGGCAGGCAGTTGATCTTCAGAGAGCTGCTCAGAGGCACCTCACCTCCAATGTTATCGTTTTATCAACCCTCAGTCAACTTGCGGAGCTTCTCTTCTGATGTCAAAGGCCATAACCACATCCTTTCGAAATTCACAAAACTAAGAGGCACATAAAAAAATATATATATACCTTTTGCTACATGGTTTGGAAATGATGTTTGAAGAAACTTAGAGTCAAAATTATATTAGCGATTTGATGTTTATTGTCATAGTTCCTGGTTTAGCCCACCCAACAGTTAAGACATCTAGTACAGGAATTAAGAATGTGGGTTCTGGAGCCCATGGAGCCCAGCTTGGGTATAAGTTTCCTGTTGCCACTGTAACAAATTGCTACAGACTTAGTGACTTCAAGTAATGCAAATTAATTGTCTCACAATTTTGTAATTCAGAAGTTTGGAATGGGTCTCACTGGGCTAAAATCAAATTGTCAATGAGCTGTGACCCTTTCCCCAGGATCTTTATCAGAAAATATGTGTCCTTGACCGTCCCAGCTTCTGAAGGACACCCATACTCCTCCAGCTCATAGCCAACAGTCACAGGTCCAGTCCTCCTTGGAAACCTCTTCTTCCCTCCTCCACTTTTGACCCTTGTGGTTATACTGGGTCCATTCAATCTAGGATCATCTAGGAAAGTCCTATTTGAAGTCAGCTGATAACAACCTCATTCTCTTTTCTACTTTAATTCCCCTTTGCCATGTAACCTAGCATACACAGAGGTTCTGGGGATTAGGACATGGGTCTTACAGGGGCCATTACTCTCTCCTGATCTACCACTGGAACCAGCTGTGAGGCCACAGGCAAATTATTCAGTGGTGCTGAGTCTTTTTTTTTTTTTTTTTTCATCTGTGAAAGTGAATAACAGTGGCTCTAGACAAGGCACTGCAGGGTTCCTCTTTGGCTCCCTCACTTCTTGCTCAAAGGTTCTCACCCCAGTCTACAGTCTGCCCCTGTCCCCAGCCCTCTGTGCACACCTCTCATGCCAGTCCGCACATGCTGCTCAATCTGCCCCAGAATGTCTTTTTGCCTCTGCTTTTTTGGGTTAACTCTGAATTATAATGCCAGCCTCGGCCTCCCTGTACTTCCTCAGGGACTCCTTCCTGGTTTTCCTAAGTCAAATCCACCAATCACAACAAGGCACCTTCTACCTTTCTCTTCATTCCCCTCAGAACAGCATTAATCATGCATCTGGAGGGTGACTTTGGGCTGTCTCCTCACTTGAGATAGGGATCTAAGATTAAGAGAGAGAGATACTGAGTCTCAAAGAAAACAACCCAAGAGCCTTTAAGGTGCAGAAAGCACAGTTGTAAATCTTGAGTGACATGTCCTTGGCCTGTACCCTTGGAAAATAAAATACCTGAGCACAAGGAAAACAGGTAAAAATTTTTGTGGCTCTACCTTGCTCCATGTCCAGTCCCGTCCTAATTATAGCCTTTCTATAAATATTAGACCCCAACCTACAAAAGGGCTTCTCCCTTGAATGTGTAACTACTTTCTAAATAAACCTCTGCCTATGCATTTGTCTGGCTCCTGCTGAAATTCTTTCCATCACATATGCCAGGAACCCTGCTCATCCTGAATTGAATTCCCCCTCCCTCTGGGAACTCCTTGGACCCTCCGGAGACATCTCTTCTCCAGCTACACACTCACTAGTTTAGATGCTCCTCAAGAGTAAGGGATATGTGTGGTTTTACTCATCATTATATACTCAGCAACAAACACATATGAAAAGTTTATTTGAGAAAATGTGTTGAATGGATAATCACCAAATTGGGGTGGGCAATTCAAAGAGAGACTGAGCATAAAACTCTTAGCAGAAATAGTTTTGAAGTTTATTTTTAAAATTTAAATCAAAGCTTTTTAAACTTCAAATAAGAGCCCACAGAAGTTTCTCTGTGCTACATATAGATGATTGTTTTTGTTTCCTAAAATTTTGTGGAAGAACAGAAAATAAATGAATATGCCAGAGCAGCATAATAAAGAATGAATGAGCTCTGAAAACAGAAAAAAAACTTGCACTGGAATTCCAGCTCTGTCACTGATTAAACTCTCTGTCATTTACTAAACTGTTTTTCTTGAAGTAAGCTTCTTGCCCTCTCTGATCCTTAGCTTCTTTGGTAGGTCATTTGAGAAGTGCATGGCAGACACTGTGAATACTGAGTTCTAGTAGTCATCTACTTTTGAGTTGGAACATTGTTGAGGTATAATATGTGAGACATACTTCTACCATGAAATTAATAAGTAAGGAATTTTGATGTAAGCAGAGGTGGCATGGGCTGGATAGGGATGAATAATGAGACACAATCGTCATTACTACTGTATAGGAGTATGACTCTCAAAAGTTTATTTTTGAGTGTCAAATATCATTTAATGATACACTCTAATTTTATTTCATATGTCAGAAATTCCTGCGTAATCAAGACACGTACGAGGGAAAAGGGGATATTTGAATGACCTCTATTCTGTGATTTTAAGACATGGGTATATGGAAATACACTGCACAAGAGTGGTAGAGGTAGGGTTTTGTTTGTTTGTTTGTTTGTTTTGGTGTCTTGTTTTCCTGAATATGGCTTGAGGAAGGGATTGTTGTTTTCCTCAAATATCTGCTTCCTTCTTCTTCTTAGAATAACTGACTCCCTGAAGGTTGTCTGGACCTCCAGCCAGGCAGAATAAAGACTATGTTTTTCAGATCCTTTTGTAATGAGGCATAGTCATGTGACTCTTTTCTGGCCAACAGAATAAGGCAGAGGTGGAATTGTCCTTAATAGAAATCTTCATATCGTTTTCTTTAGCTTTTTCCTCTTCCTGTTGATTGGAATGTTGAGATAATGGCTAGGGCTGGAGCAGCTATCTTATATCATGCAGTAGAAATTGCATGTTAAGGAAAAGGAAGCATATAGTAGAAAGAGCCTGGAGTCCTGATGACCATAGATCTTCCGTGCTAACCCTGGGACAACTTTTGTAATACAAAGTGAAATAAACTATTTACTAAGATCCTGCAAATTTGAGGTTTCCTTCACTAGTGGGAAACAGATTCTAATACCATGTACTACCTTCTCAAACTATACTTTAAACTCTTTTGGGAAGGGTAGATTGATACCTGGTTGATTCAGGTTAAAAGATTTACAGACTTCACAGTGTTCTCACTTGGGAAAGCAAAATATCATCAGGAGCTGCTGTAATAGTATCTTTTATTTTGTTGTCTTTCTGGAGTACAGTCATAAATAATTTTGTTTTCTTTCTCACAGAATTTTCAAAATCACCTACTGCGATTAGTCTCTGTTCACTCTTTAGTATAACTTAAGAAGATCCAATATTTTCTCTGTCATTCTAATGAAAAAGTAAACAAATAATCTCTTAAATAATTTTTTTTAGTTGTAGATGGACAGAGTAACTTTATTTTATTTATCTATTTTTATGTGGTGCTGAGGATCAAACCCAATGTCTCATATGTGCTAGGCAAGCGCTCTACCACTGAGCTACAACCCCAGCCCAAATAATTTCTTTTTATTTTTAGTTTAAAAAGTTCAGGTTATAGGAGACAAATTCAAGAAGTTCTCACTGCCCAAAGATAGAACAATTTGGGCATCTAAATGAATAATATCTGCAATAAATTGAAAAGCAATAAAAATGTTGAAATCATGAGTTCATAAAGTAAATGGAAAAAAAATATTCCAGACAGGTGTGGTGGTGCACACCTTTAATCCCAGCTACTCAGGAGGCTAAAGTAGAATTGCAAGTTTGAGGCCAGCCCCACCAATTTAGCGAGCCCAGCTCAAAATTAAAAATCAAAGGGGCTGAAGACGTTGCTCAGTGGCAGAGCACTTCTGGATTCAATCCCCAGTAATAAAAAATAAAAATAAAAATAAAATAATATAAAATTCAACCCATTGACCATATTTGGAGAGTGGTGAAGATCAAGTTATTATTTTGAAAACTGGAAATAAAAAGGTAAAACGTATTTTCTTGCTCTCTGTAGAACTATATCTCAGTTTAGTAATGAAATATTTAATGATGTGAAGTCCTTTAGAAAGCAAATTAATGAAGAAGGAATGAGAAAGCATCGATACTTTGCAACTCTAATAACATAGCGGGTTATAATCATCAGTGGCTGCTACATCATTACTAAAAAGCTGATAGGAAAATGTACAATTCACGAAGCTGACAACACTTTAACAGACTGAATAATTCTCACATCACAAGGGAGACAATCAGACACTGCACTTCTCCTGAGGTGACCCAATAAAACCACTCACACAGGAGTCATTCCAACAGGAAAAAAAAAAAAAAATCAAACGTGAATCTAATCAAACCTCTAGATCTAAATTTGAGTTTGTAGAAAATAAAAGAGATAAAGGAATATCCCCCCTCCCCCACCCGACATGTGATAAAGATGTTAACTGTGTAAGTCCCGAATATTCAGAACACGAAGGAAAAATGACTGGTATCTGCAACAGATAAATTGGAAGGGAACCAACAGATTACAAGAGACTTTAATAGATATATCAAACACATAGGAGGATTTTGTTTGGATTCAGAATTAGACAAATTAACTGCATAAAAACTGAATGGGACAATTAAGAAAGTTTGAACACTGACTAGAGATTTGGTGATACTGAGAAACTATTATTTAGTTTTTAAGGTGTGATGATGACACTGTTGTCAAAAAAGAGTACTTATTTTTGCATAGAAACATGCCCATGATTGTTGAGACAATCGAATATCTAAGATTTGCTTTGTTACAATCCAGTGGAATGGAAAAAATAGGTAGGGGGAGAATGAAGAAAGTTCTCGACAATTGCTCAAGCCGGGTAGTGAATTGGGGGTTTATTTGTGTACTCTGCTCACACTGATAAATGTTTGAAAGTTTCCATGATAAAAAGTTAAGAAACGCCAGTCTAGTTCAGTGCCCTAATCAGAATTCCAAACACATATTCAATTGAATGCTTTTCTTCAATGTCATCAAGTGTGCTTTGGGATTTGAGGCCT